TCGCCTCCTACGTGTGTTAAGAGAGAAGCACAGTCTGTTCTTCTCTGCTTCCCACCATCCATTCAAGCTAACTTTAATTACCAATTTTTTGTCTCTAAGTCTGTGAGAGGCCCCTCCATCTTCCTCCTCCTCCTCCTCTTTCTCTCCTCCCTCGTTGTTTCTTCATTAGCTGCCTTTCCATTTTCCTTTTTCTGCTTTCAAAGGAGAGACAGAGATAGAGATGTATCTCCCCATTATTAAGAAATGTCTCTTGTTTGGTTCATCCAACATGCCTCCAGACTGATCGTTTTTCTTTTCCCCAAGGCAGGGGTTAAAAGTGAGCAGATCTCCATTCGCGTCTCTCTGGATGAAAAAGGAATAACCCAATTCCAAATCCCTCTTAACATTTCCAAGGTAAGCAAGATGTCATTCTTTATTCATAGCACAGAATCATGGCATTGGAAGGAATCTTATGTCATATCGCCCAATCACCAGCTCAATGCAGAAATTAAAGTATATCTGACAGATGGCAGCCCAATTTTCCCTCAGTGTTTAGTTCCCATGTTGTCCTGCTCAAATAGTTAGGAGGTTTTTCCTGATAATCAAAATCTGGCTCCCTGAGTGCATTAATTGCTCCCCAATCCACCCCATATACACCCTGCGACTGCACTGTGGCCACTGTAGAGGTGCTGCCTCGGCAGGTAATGTTCTTTTCATACCTGAAAGGAGGGAACGAGACGAGTCAGGGAGCCCCAGGTGTTGCCAAACGTCCGACTTCTCCTTCCTCCAGAAGAAATTGAGGGTAGGAGGGAAGAAATGCAACCCATCAGAAGTCCCAGTCTTAGACATTGTACTGTAAAGGACACGCCATTACTACTGATAGGAGAGTTCTTGAGGTCCCTGCAGCATTCAAAAAGGGGTTCACTATTCCCATGGAGGGATTTGACCCCCTTCAAAGACATCCTAGATTTCAGGCAAATGGGCTGGATCCGTCCCTGCCCACTCAGCTCACTTTCACCTACAGACCCAATCTGTTTTTCTGGCGCCTGTCCTTTCCCTGAGTGTGTTAAGAGGGAAGCACAATCTGATCCATTGTTCTCTGCTTCCCACCATCCAGGCCAGCTAACTTGAATGACCAAATCTTTCTCTCTGAGTCTGTAAGAGGCCACTCCATCACCTTCTTCCTCTTCCCCTCCTCCCTCATTATTTCACCATTCGCCGCCTTTCCATTTTCCTTTTTCTGCTTTCCAAAGGAGGTAGAGAGAGATAGAGAGATGGAGATGTATCTCCACATGATATGAAAACTACAAAGCCAGGCACTATTAGGAAATGTCTTTTGTTTGCTTTATCTGAGATGCCTCCAGACTGATTGTTTTCCTTTTCCCCAAGGCAGGGTTTGAAAGTGAGCAGATCTCCACTCACTTCTCTCTGGACCAAAGGGAATAACGTAATTCAAAGTCCCTCTTAACATTTCCTAGTTAAGCGAGTTGCCATTGTTTATTCATAAGATAGAATCATGGCGTTGGAAGGAATCTTACAAGGTTATATAGCCCAATCACCAGCAAAATTAAAATGCATCTGACCAATGGCTGCCCAATTTTCCCTCAGCCCCCACTTGCACTGTTGTACTGCTCAAATAGGAGGTTTTTCCTGATACTCAATTGAAATCTGGCTTCCTGAGTACATAAATATGTGTCCTACACCCTGGTAGGACAGAGAACAGATCCTGCCCATCTGTATGATAACCTATCAAGTATTTGAAGAGTGTGTTCATATCACCCTTTAGTGTTATTTTCTGAAGGCTAAACATGTCCAGTTCTTACAGTCTCTCCTGGGGCCGAATCCCTCTCCCCAAGCTGGGCTCTCTGAGGGCGTTCCTCCAGGAAGGATCGGAGCCAGGCAAACACCAGGCCACCAATTCCCAGCTCAGAGAGCCTCCTCAGGAGGATACCATAGTCAACGGTATCAAAGGCAGCTGAGATACCAAGGAGGATCAGCAGAGACGTTTTACCTCTGTCGGCCTCCCTCAATAGGTCATCCAACAGGGCGACCATTGCCATTTCTCTACCATGGCACGGCCTGAAGCCTCACTGGAATGGGCCCAGGGCATTTGTTACATCCAAATGCGCCTGAAGCTAATCGGCCACCACCCTCTCCGCCACTTTACTAATGAAAGAAACATTGGCAACGGGCCTATAATTGTCAATTTCATCCATCGCCAAATTCTGTTTCTTTCCAATGGGCTTAATGAGTGTCTCCTTGAGGGCAGGGGGAGCCTGTAGTCTATAAGACTACACGGTAGTCTATAAGAGGCCTAGGTAAAGGTAAAGGTTCCCCTTGACAATTTTTATCCAGTCGTGTTCGACTAGGGGACGGTGCTCAGCCCCGTTTCCAAGCCATGGAGCCAGCGTTTTGTCCGAAGACAATCTTCCGTGGTCACATGACCAGTGCGACTTAGACACGAACGCTGTTACCTTCCCACCGAGGTGGTCCCTATTTATCTACTTGCATTTACATGCTTTCGAACCGCTAGGTTGGCGAGAGCTGGGACAAGTGACGGGCGCTCACTCTGTTGTGTGGATTCGATCTTATGACTGCTTGGACTTCTGACCCTGCAGCACAGGCTTCTGCGGTTTAGCCTGCACCACCACCATGTCCCTCTCCCTAGCAGGCCTAGCAAGTGCCAAATAGGAAGAAGTAAGACTTGACGTGATTTGGAGATGACACCCCTGTGAATGCAGCTCAAAAGAGCCTTCCCCCCTTTTTTACAACCAATTCCCATAATAACAGAAAGGTGGTCAATGCCCCATCACATATGGGGAAGAACAGCCATATATTATGCTTGTTGAGTGTTCCCCAACAGTTAAGTACATTTATGAGGTAAAAGACATTTTCTGCCATCTCCGTGCCTTTAAGAAAGCAGAGGAGTCTGTTCAGAAAAATGAAACAACGCCACTCTTCAGCCACAGATTCCCTGTTTGTGTTCCTGGGCACAGGATGGAGAATAGAGGGGAGGAGACCAAATGGTTGTATAGTGGTGCCTTGACTTATGAACGTCTTGACTTGCGACCAATTTCGGTTAAAACCAGTTCCGGTCACAAAATTTTGCTTTGACTTGCGACCTGCAGTTTGAGATACGACTGGGAAAAAAAGGCAGGGAATTTGAACTGCTTCCCCTCCTTTTGTCCTTCAGTTAACCGTTGGTCAGCGAAGAGTCTGCTTATCTGTAGCTCCTGGGTGGGTTCGGAGAGAGACTTTGGACTGCCTGCTACTGTATGGTACTCTACTGTACTGTTTTTTTGGGGGGGGGGATTTTTGCTTTTTGACTTCCTTTTTTAAAACAGAGAGACTGCCTTTTCTTGGTGAGTACTGAGTTTTGCAACATGGGTTTGGCCTGTGTGTGTGTGTGTGGGGGGGTTATATTTCTGTGCTCTGATGGGTATTGCAGTGTGTGATTGTATCATTTTTAGACCCTGCTGGAATGTGTGTTTTTTTTCCTGTGTCTCCTAGGATTTGTGTACTGTACTGTGCGGTGTGCTGAACAGTACTGATGGCTTCAAAGAAAACTCAGAGCAGAGGGAAGAAGAAGATCATCTCCATTCAAGTGAAGAAGGACATCATCGAAAAGCATGACCGTGGCATGCGTGTGACTGATCTGGCCTCTGAATACAAGATGCTAACGTCAACCATCTCCACCATATTGAAGAAGAAAGATGTCTTGAAAGACATCGATGTGGCAAAAGGAGTCACGATCCTAACAAAGAAAAGGACACCCCTGATTGAAGAGGTGGAAAAACGTTTACCAGTATGGATCATTGAGAAACAGCTGAAAGGGGAAAGCATCAGTAAATCCATGATTTGTGAGAAAGCCAAGAAGCTGCACAGTGATTTAATGGAAAGAAACCCCTCCGGAAGTGCACCACAAGAAGAATTCAAAGCCAGCAGAGGGTGGTTTCACAAGTTCCAAAAGAGAAGTGGCATCCGCAGCATTACAAAACATGGGAAGGCTGCAAGTTCTGGCCATGCTGCTCCAGAAGCCTTCGAACTGGACTTTGTCAAATTCCTCAAGGAAGAAGAATACCTCCCCCAGCAAGTCTTCAACTGTGATGAGACAGGGCTCTTCTGGGAGAAGATGCCCAACAGAACCTTCATCACTCAGGACGAACAGAAGATGCCGGGCCACAAACCCATGAAGGATAGATTGACCCTTTTGCTGTGTGCCAACACCACTGACATGATGAGACATGGGGAGGCTGCAAATGCTGACTATGCCACTGCAGAAGCCTTCAAGTTGGACTTTGTCAACTTCCTCAAGGAAGAGGAATACCTCCCCCAGCAAGTCTTAAATTGTGATGAGACAGGGCTTTTCTGGAAGAAGATGCCCAGGAGAACCTACATCACTCAAGAGGAACAGAAAATGCCGGGCCACAAACCCATGAAGGACAGATTGACCCTTTTGCTGTGTGCCAACGCCACTGGCGATCTGAAGATCAAGCCTCTGCTGGTGCACCACTCCCAGACTCCTCGCCCATTCCATCGAGAGAACGTTAACAAGGCCACACTGCCTGTCATGTGGAGGGCCAATGCAAGGGCTCGGATGACAAGGCAGCTGTTTCTGGAGTGGCTCTATGAAGTGTTTGCACCCACTGTGAAGAAATATCTTTCTGACAACCAGCTTCCTGAAAGGTGCCTTCTGCTGATGGACAACACCCCGGCTCACCCCCCATCCTTGGTGGAGGACATTGACGAGGATTTCATCAGGGTCAAGTTCCTCCCCCCAAAAATAACACCTCTTCTGCAGCCCATGGACCAGCAAGTGATCAGCAGCTTCAAGAAGCTCTACACGAAGGCGCTCTTCACCAGGTGTTTCAATATCACAGAGGAGACGTCCTTGACCCTGAAAGAGTTCTGGAGGTCACATTTCAATGTCCTCCACAGCGTCAGACTCATCGACAAGGCCTGGCAAGATGTCACAACCCAGACCTTGAACTCAGCCTGGAGGAAACTGTGGCCAGAATGTGTCACCAACAGTGGCACTGAGGGGACTGATGCACAGTTGGTGAGGGACATCGTCTCCATGGGTGAAGGCATGGGTCTGGATGTCAGTGAGGAGGATGTAGAGGAGCTGATTGAAGAACACAAAGAGGAGCTGACGACGGAAGAACTTGCAGAACTGCAAACCGAGCAGCGGAAGGCTCTTGTGGAGGAGTTTTCCACTCAGGAAGAGGCACTTCGGGTTAGCAGTGAGGAGATAAGATCCATCTGCATGAAGTGGAACGAGTGCCAGGACTTCTTTGAGAAGCACCACCCAAACAGGACTGTGACAGGCAGAGCTTTGGACATGATGAACGACAAAGTGGTCCGCCATTTCAGAAAGGTTCTGCAGCACAGGGCGAATCAGGTAACGTGGGACAGCTTTTTCACGAGAATGGAGCCTGCGGGCAAGAGACAGCGACAGGAAACCCCTGGAGAAGATGACCCAGAGGAGGGGAGCTCTACCTCCCCACGATGACCATCTCACCTTTTAAAAGGTGTTTTGTTTAAATGGTGTTTAAAATGTCTTTCTTCTTTTCCCATTGTTACCTCCCTCCTTTCCTGCCCCTTTTTAACCTTAGAGGTTATCTTATGTTTAAAAAAAAGTCTCCCCCTAGTGGATGGATGGTTTGTGATATAACCAACGCCTTGAAACATGACTAAAAAAACAGCTGGAACAGATTAATCGCGTTTCAGTGTATTCCTAGGGAAATGGTGCTTTGAATTCTGGCCAATTGGAGTTATGACCATTATCCCAGAATGAATTATGTTCTCAACTCAATGCGCCACTGTAACTTGAACCCATTGTTGCGTGTCCTACTCTGTGTGATGATATTGAAGAAAAAGTGGGTCTTGTAGTCAATGAGAATGAGAGAAAATTGAGTCTGTTAAGTTTCAAAGTGAACAGAGTTGAAGACATTGGAATGTGATAAAGGCTGAGAGGCTGTTTTTCCTTATTTACAGCCAGGCTGTAAAACCTGTGAGTGAATCCTGACAAGAGTGCAAGGTTGAGGAGGCCCAGTGTGGAGACCCAACAAATTCCCTTCAAATTGGAATGGAGATAAACCACCTGCATCTCCATGAGAATTGGAGGCAGATTGGACAGTTATGCCTCTTTGAGTTAATTGGTTTACAGTGAAGGAGGTCCGAGGAATGTAGAAAAATGGGCGATGGGTTATGTTGGAGAGAACTTTTTTCCTAAGAAAAGTTCCTGATGGATTGTGTTATATAGCTGAATGAATGTAGTGTGATAAGGAACAAAGAGGTGGGACTAGCCCACCTCAGTTCATTGTAGTGCTTCTTATTTTAATGGGAAATAGCTTTTTTATTTAACTATTGTAACCTTTGAACATGTCTTCATGCGAATGCTTGAGCAAAATAAACTGTTTCTATGAATTTATATTTTCTTAATATAAAATAATTAAAACCTCCACTGAGGACTAGTCTCTTGGACCAGCAAGGTTTGGCTAAATCCAGAAGAGTGGAAAAGTCACCAACTGGCTACCACAGAGAAGTCCTAATTAACTGAGCTGTTGTGAGTTCTAAGGAATCACAGAGCCCATGCTTAAGTACTTGAAAATACTGAATAAAGTGAAGTGTTCTTTTAAAGGTCAGGCACAGATACTGTACATTGCTGAGGCTTGAGGACTTACCTCAGTGCAAAGTGGTAGATTTGTGTATGTGATCACAGAACAATAGGAAGGCAATTAACCTTAGAGAAAGTACAAAGAAGTTGACCACAGATGTCCGAGTCAGCAGAGTATCAAGGTGACGCCCTGAGAACCCTTTTTATTAACTTAGCAAGTTTACATAGTATGTTGAGAGAATTCAGTGTTACTTAACACTCAATTACTCGATTACCTAACCTATCTCTAACCCTGTATACAGATCTTCTTTCAAGCCCTCTCTCACTCTCCCACTCTCTAATAATAATAATTTTTCCCTCTTTGCACTCCCCCCTTATATACAAAAACTCCACCCCTTTAAGACCCCCCTCCTGCCCTGCCATAGGCCAGGAAACTCCAGCCTTAGCCAAGACAGGCAGGTGACGTCATGGCACACGTCACATACCTTCCCCCTTTAATAAGTTGTTTTGTGGGGCAAAGCTAAGGTGCTTTTTCCCCAAAACAACTGAAAACAACATGAAGCATTACATTTATCAACACAGTTTAATACAACTACAGTATTCAAATATACTTACACTTCCGCCACACAGGTATATAAAAACATGCAATGCATAACATTTATCATAACACAACACATAAGTTTACATAGTATGTTGAGAGAATTCAGATAGGATATAGTGGTGCCCCGGTTGACGATTACCTCGTTAGACGAGGAAATCGCTTAATGATTAGCTTTTTGCGATCGCAAACCAATGTTTAAATGGGGGAATTTAGCTTCACGATGACCAGTTCCCTGCTTCGGGAACTGGTTTTTTACTTAATGATGATCAAAACAGCTGATCGTCGGGTTTCCAAAATGGCCACCTGCTGTGCAAAATGGCTCCCTGCTGTGGTTAGGACAGATTCAGCGCTATACAGGGGGCAGAAAATGGCCGCCCTAAGGAGGATCTTCGCTGGACAAGCAGGCATTTCTCCCATTGGATCGCATTGAACGGTTTTCAATGCATTTCAATGGGCTTTTTTATTTTGCTTGATGATGATTTCACTCTACAGCGATTTCGCTGGAACAGATTAACGTCATCAAGCGAGGCACCACTGTACTAGTTACCTAATCGCCACTAGGATCGGCAGAAGAAACTCTTTGAACTTCTGCTCTAGCTCTAAGCAAGAGGGCAGAATAAGCGGTCACCCCGCCCACTGGCAGCGCTGCTCTCTGCCAGGAGTGTTTGCACGTCGCTGAAACGGCTAACAGCCTTGGGCAAGATTTCCCCACATTCCGTCTTTTTCTTTTGTTCCAAGCAGTGGCATATACAGTGGTGCCCCGCATAGCGATGTTAATCTGTTCCGGATTAATCGTCGCTATGTTGAAACATTGCTAAAGGGATCAAAAAAAACCATTGCGGATTCAACGCTATACAGGGGGCAGAAAATGGCCGCCCTAAGGAGGATCTTCGCTGGACAAGCAGGTATTTCGCCCATTGGATCGCATTGAACGGTTTTCAATGCATTTCAATGGGCTTTTTTATTTCGCTTGATGACGATTTCACTCTACAGCGATTTCGCTGGAACAGATTAACATCATCAAGCGAGGCACCACTGTACTAGTTACCTAATCGCCACTAGGATCGGCAGAAGAAACTCTTTGAACTTCTGCTCTAGCTCTAAGCAAGAGGGCAGAATAAGCGGTCACCCCGCCCACTGGCAGCTGCTGTAGCTCTAAGCAAGAGGGAAGAATAAGCGGTCACCCCGCCCACTGGCAGCGCTGCTCTCTGCCAGGAGTGTTTGCACGTCGCTGAAATGGCTAACAGCCTTGGGCAAGATTTCCCCACATTCCGTCTTTTTCTTTTTTTCCAAGCAGTGGCATATACAGTGGTGCCTCGCATAGCGACGTTAATCTGTTCCGGATTAATCGTCGCTATGTTGAAACATTGCTAAAGGGATCAAAAAAAACCATTGGAACGCATTAAACATAGTTTAATGCATTCCAAATGGGCCCCAAACTCACCATTCAGCGATGTTCCTCCATAGGGGTGGCCATTTTTAGTGCCTCTAAAGCGAGGCAACACAGCCTGTGGCATTTTCCCCCAGCTGAGCGGCGGGAGCTTCAAAGGCCCGCCGCTCAGCTGGGAGAAAATGTCTGCAGTCGGTCTGCGGTGGCTTTGGAAGGACCCCGAAGCCACCACCGACCGCCAACATGGTCGGACTCCCGGGAGGGGGGGCAAATGTCGGCGGTGGGCGACACCCATTTCTTTAAGGCACTCCCATTTCTTTAAGGGCTTGCCATAGTTTGCTGTGGCCCACATAGCCAAAGGCTTTTGTATAGTCAATGAAGCAGAAGTAGATGTTTTTCCGGAACTCTCTGGCTTTCTCCATAATCCGGCGCATGTCAGCAATTTGGTCTCTAGTTCCTCTGCCCCTTCGAAATCCAGCTTGTACTTCTGGGAGTTCTCCATCCACATACTGCCGAAGCCTGCCTTGGAGGATTTTGAGCATAAACTTGCTAGGGCGTGAAATGAGTGCAACTATACAGTAGTTGGAGCATTCTTTGGCACTGCCCTTCTTTGATCTTTTCCAGTCCTCTGGCCACTGTTGAGTTTTCCAAACTTGCTGGCATATTGATTATAGCACCTTAACGGCATTTTAAATAGTTAAACTGGAATGCCATCACCTCCACTGGCCTTGTTGTTAGCCATGGTTTCTAAGGCCCACTTGACTTCACTCTCCAGGATGTCTGCCTCAAGGTCAGCAACCACACTATCTTTGTTGTCCAGGATATCCAAATCTTTCTGGTATAATTTCTCTCTGTATCCTTGCCACTTCTTGATGTCTTCTGCTTCTGTTAGGTCCCTCCCATTTTTGTC